CAACCTGTTCCTCGTCCTCTTCCTGACCTTGCACAGTAACTGCGCGAGCAGGCTCACTGGGGGAAACGCGTATTTGCGCGTGCCCCGAGGCCAGCTGTAAGCCAGTGCATCCGTGCCGAGAGCACTCGGTCAGGGAAAGAACAACTAGCAATGAGCGATCTCGGGGGAGCAACAGATCGATCTGGGCTTCCCCGAATCGCGCCCATATCAGCTGAACAGACTCGGGGTGGAGTCTCCATTCTCCAGGACGCAAGGCTGCCGTGAGAGCGCATCGGCTGCACGGTTGAGCTTGCCTTAATATGAATGGTGTGCAGCGATTTCAGCCGCGGATAACTCCAGAGGAGCAGACGGCGGGCGAGCTGAGACATGCGGCGAGAGCGCATACCCCCTATACGGCTGATATACGCCACCGCCGCCGTACTGTCCGTCCTGACCAGCACGTGTTGCCGCTCCAGCACCGGAAAAAAACGGTGGAGAGCGAGGAACACTGCCAACAGCTCCAGGCGATATGCCAATGCAACTGGGTACCTTTCCACAGGTCCGCAGCCGCATGCCCGCAACGCACAGCCCCCCAGCCCGTGTTGGAAGTGTCTGCTGAAACGACAACAAGACTGGACGCCTGTTCTAGAGACACCCAGGTCTGTAGGAACGAGGGGTCGCTCCAAGGGCTGAGGGCGCGGCGACACAGCGCAGTAACAGAGACTCGGTGTGCGCGCGCGTGCCATGCGCGTCTGGGACTCGATCGTGAAGCCAGTGCTGAAGTGGTCTCATATAGAATAATCCGAGCGGCATGAAGCGGCTGCGGATGCCATATGCCCCAGGAGCCTCTGAAATAGTTTCAGTGGGACCACTATTTTACTGTCGAGCTCTCTCAGACAGTACAGCATCAGCTGAGCGCGCTCTCCGGAGAGGCGCGCTGCCATGGTGACCGAGTCCAGCTCCAGCCCGAGAGAAGAGATCCTCTGCACGGGGGCGAGTTTGCTCTTTTCTCGGTTGACCTGAAACCCCCACAGGTGGAAGTGCCAGAGCACTTTGTCTCTGTGCATAATCAACTGCTCTGAGAGAGGGCAAAAATCAGCCAGTCGTAAAGAAATTGAGTATGCAGATGCCCGCGAGCCGAAGGGGCGCTGAGGCACCCTCCGCGGGCTTGGTGAGGACCCGCGGAGACAGAGAGAGCCCGAAGGGGAGGGCTTTGTATTGCCAAGCTCGACCTTCAAACGCAAACCGCAGAAACTGTCGGTGGCGAGGAAGAGTGGAGACATGGAAATACGCGTCCATCAGGTCTAATGCTGCAGACCAACCCAGAGGACGAACGCACCGGAGGATGCGCTTCTGCGTGAGCATTCTGAACGGCAGCTTGTGCAGGCAGCGGTTCAAAACGCGCAGATCTAGGATTGGCCGTGACCCACCGCTCTTTTGGGCACGATGAAGCGTGGGCTGTAAAACCCACTCTCCATCTCGGCTGGAGGGAGCGGCTCGATTGCATCCTTCGCCAGGAGGACAGCAATCTCCTCTCGCAAGACAGGGGCGGACAGGGGGCTGACCCTGGTGAATACACACCCGTGACTTGGGGGGCCGTTTCGCGAACTGAATCGCATAGCCGAGTCTGATTGTGCGTATGAGCCACCGCGAAGAGCTGGCCCGCGCTAACCAGGCAGGCAGAGCTCTCGCTAATGGACTCATCGCTACAATCGCTGACGTACCAGCAGTGGGGCAGCGCGGAGTGGGTGTGCTGATCCGGGAAGCTCGCGGGTCCCACGGAAAAGCTGGAGGTGAGATATTTGCTCTCACTCCAAACCCGAGCTCCGGAGGGGAGGCTCGAGGGGTGGGAGAAAGGAGACCGTCCTCCCAGCGCTCGTGAGCCACTGGCGAAACGCACCGAATCTGCAAGCTAGAAAGCATAGCGTCCCAGACTGGCAGATTTCGGGCTGTCACATCTGGGGAAGTGAAAAGTGCCCTTTCATAATGTTTTCATGGCAGTAAAAAGTGCCGTTGGAAATGGGGCCCCGCCCTCCAGCGGGGAAAGAGCAAGTTCCCTCTTCTCCAGATGGCCTGTCCCAGGGGCGCTTCGCGGTCCGTTGCCGGACTTAGCGGCGTTCTGGGCAGGGGGGCTGCCTGCTTCCGAGGTGCCCGACGCGCTCGCTTCGCCTGAGGCGTGTGCGGGGGCGGAGCAGCTCTCGTAGGCGGGCGCCTTCGGCGAGGAGCAGGTATGAATGGCACGGCGGGCGGAGCGGGCTACGGACCGCCGATAAGACATCACCCACCAACTGCTCTCTCACCGCCTTGAATTCCTGGGTGAATTCACAGACAGTGTCGCCGAACCTGGCTGGGGATATGGGGAAGTCAAGAAAGCGGACTTTGTCGACTTTGCGCATATCAGCCAGGGGTGGCGCTCCTGGACCACTAATGTGGACATCGTCCTCCCCAACGCACACGCAGCGGACTCAGTAGTCCGAAGAGCTAAGTCGGCGGCGGTGCGAAGCTCGTAAGCCTGGGTTGGACCCACCCTCGTGCAGCTCGGCCAGCGCCTGCGCTTGGTAGCGCTAGTAGGTGGCTATCGCATGCAAGGCGGAAGCAGCCTGGCCCGCAGCTATGTAAGCTCTAGCTCCGAGGGAGGTAGATAACTTACAGGCTTTGGATGGGAGACGAGGCGGATCCCGCCAAGAAGAGGCGCCGCGCGGATTTACCGCCATCGCGCACTCAACCTGAGGAATCGCCACATACCCCCTGGCTGTTTCACCGTCAAGAGTGGTTAGGGTGGAGGAACACGCAGCACGAGCAGAAAAAAGTGCTTTACAAGACCGCGTGAGCCTACTGTGCACCTCCGGGAAGAAGGGAACGCCCCTCTAGTCGGTCCGGCCGCGGAGCTGGGGGATAAACCATCTCCAACCCACGGCCGAAGCAGCCCGGGAAAGCACGGCTAACATGTCCGTTTCAGGATCCGTAGTGACAGCGCTCACCAGCCCGAAGGGGGCGAGCGGGTCTGGATCATCATCGGACAATGAAAGCCCACCCTCCGATGCCGCGGTGGACATCTGGTCTCCGGTGTCATCGGGCGTAAGGGCTACCATCTGTTAGACGGATCGCTTCCCCCGCCCGAAGCTTGGATGGAGCGCTTAGAGGAGCGGGAGGTCCGCGGGCCCGTGGGCGACGGATTATCTCTCGCTGAAACCCTCAGATCTGCCCGAGTGCCCGCTGCAGAGCAGGGGACAACTGGGGTGGTTCACCCTTTTGCAAAGGCTAACCGCGATCTTGCGCAACAGTCATGGCATCGCAATGACGACATGAACTGCCCGCGAGCAGCGCATTAACATGCTGGACCCCCAGACATGTAACGCAGTGCCCGCGCCCATCATCCGAGGACAGGAAACCACCGCATCCAGAAACGCACAGTCGGAGCGCCGTCCTGATAAGGACGTGCTGCACGACTGTGTTGCTCTTTCTGTGAAGTTTGCAACTTTATACGCACCGCTCTGGAGGACCGGACCCAAAGAACGCCAGGCAAGGGAGAAACCCAGCTCGACCGTCTGCCACTGCGTGTACACACTCTGGACCGGGAGAATGCTCTCGTTCGCTCAGAATCGCTGGTCACAGCAGGAGGAACCCTCATCGACTCGATCAGAAAGTCTCTGAAGCGAAAAGGATAGCGTCTGCTGGCGCCAGGTGAGCTTATATACTCAGTTGATTGCTTATGCCGCTCACCTGCGCAGGCTTGCGCTGCCAATTCATTCTTAATTGGCCCGTTCAATACTCTTTCAGACGAGTAGCTTCTGAACCGAACCTCCCAATGCGTGGATTTTACAAATCAAATCCACTTATAGTGCTGAAGTTCCCCCCGAAGGGGAACCAGAGTATCTTACTTCAGCCATCTTCGTCTTGGAGAATCCCCCCTTCCACCCCTACTCCTCTCATTTCCTTGTCAGGGCAGCACGGAGGCCTAGTGGTTAGCACCACGGCTGCACAGCAAGAATGTCACCGGCTCGGACACTTCCTGGCCCGGTCGGCATTTTTGTGCGGAGTTTGCATGTTCTCCTCGTGTTTGTGTGGGTTTTCACCGGGCTCTCCGGTTTCCTCCCACAGACCAAAAACATGTAACATAAGTAAATTGACAAATCTAAATTGACAGCATAGACACTTCATCGCATTAATCTGCTTCCAACATTATCAAGCAGGGGAGTTCTCGAGACCTACCGGAACTCGGACTCCCCTCTCGCCCTGCAATGGGAGGGAGCCCCGGGCTCGAGGATCTCACAAGTTCAGGGCTCTCTCCCGGGACAGCATGACAAACAAGCTCCATAATCCATCATCAGCTAAGGGCGAACTCTTGAAATACTTAATGAATTAATTTTATCTGCACTATTGCTGTGTGTATTTTTGTTATTTCTCTTGTTGTTTTAGTGTTCTTGTTTTATTGTACGGTGTCCTTGAGTTGCCAGAAACTCTGGTGAATTAAAACCAGCCTATATTGGATAATCTGCTGTGGCGAGTCTGTGAAAATTTAGCTTTGAATAAGTTTTGATTTGCATGAACCTGGCTGACCGTAGCCCAGTGACAACAGGATGTCACTTATACTGAGGGTGAACCAACACACTATTGATGATTGTGTAAATATTGTCGGGTACTAACAGTACCTTTCTATCAACGTTATCTAACATCACTGAGATGAACAGTTCTGACAGTTTAACTCAAGAGTTATCCTATTTAACTTAAGAGTAATCATATTTTATTAAAGTTCTCTCTACTAACCTGAACATACAGTGATAATGTGAGATATAAGAGATGTCAGAGATGTCAAAGAGATGTCAGATTTTTTGTTGTTGTTATTTTGTTTAAATTACAAAGCTATAGATGCCTAGCAATTTCTTACACATATTTAACATTAACTAAATTACTTAATCTCAGATTTGTGATGCCAGAAGTCTAAATAAATTTCTGCCACGCTTTCATTTGTCATCAAGACCCTCCCCTTTTGAAAACGTATATGAGCTCTGCATACAGTAGGTGTGTTTTCTCATTCACCTCCTGATCAAAAATGGATAAGCAAATCGCAGTTTTTCTTCTGTTTGTTATTTTCACCACAGGTACAGTACAAAGACAAATAATTAGTTAAAAAACTAAAGTTAAATCTTATTTCTAGTAAATAAAAATCATGTTAATCTTGTATTAAAAACAAATTATCATGCAATATCAAGTAGTGTAACATTATATGATTATATACAGATTATTTATCGTTCATGAAGCTTAAATGCAAAGTTAGATTAAATCAGAGACATAATTTAAGACTAGCTTGATTTTTTAAAGACTTTATTTTAGCTGTTTTATTGTTGTTGTTGTTGTCTTTTAAAGACTTCAGGTTACACCTTATTTTAATGGTCTGTTTGTTGAATTTAAGTTACATTGCATCTACATGCCAACTACTTCTCATTAGATTATTAGTAGACTGTCAGGTTGGGGTTAGTGTAAGTTGACATGTTCTTGCTAAGCTTCTTATAGTCAGGTAAATGTCTGTTGAAGGAGCAGTATCCAGTGTTACTAGACTTTATAATAGCTTGTTTTTAGTTGTATTTGAAATACTTTATAATAATTTATTTTTAGTTGTATTTTAAATACTTTATAATAACTTGTTTAGTTGTATTTTAAATACTTCATAATAGTTTGATTTTAGTTGTATTTTAAATAATTTAGAATAACTTGTTTTAGTAGAATTTAAATACTTTATAATAGTTTATTTTTAGTTGTATTTTAAATACTTTATAATAACTTGTTTGTGTATGTGTGTGTGTTTTTTTTTTTTTTTGGCCCATTAAAAATGTTCAATAATCACACGTATTCTTATTTTAGCAGTTGTAATTTGTTTTATGCTTACCGATGAAAAAAAAAATTCAATCACACATGCTCGTTCTTTCGTAACAAAATATTTTTGTTGTGTCTTTTTCGCATTAAGCTTCAGTATATTTTATCTACAGTATTTCTCAGGGAATATTTAGGTGCATTTAAACAAAACAGATTTATTAAACAGATATATTTATTAAAAGAGTATTTTAGTCACTGAACATCTTTAGAAATTGAAATATACTAAAATTAAATTCATGCTTAATATCACAATAAAAATTACAATCTACAAAATTTCTAATATTTTTTTCCAATTTGTTTGCTTCTCTTGATTTTTCCTCTTTTTTTTATTTGTATTTAATATTTTTTATGACATATAAATTTGGCTGTACTATTTTTTCGACTGTTATTATAAGTTATTTCATTACATAAACTCCAGATTAGGCTTCAGAACTGACTAATCTAATGTATATGCACAAATATAATATAGTAAAGCTTCCTATTAAAAATATAAATTTTAAAGAAAGACTTATGAGTGGTGTACTCGTATCCTGAGCATTGTACAATGACAATTCTTAAATGAAGAGGAATTCTCCTGTATAGTAACTTTAGTTGGTGTTTCATAAAGTTTAAAAATCTCTTAACAAGCTAGTTTTAAGATTATTCAACTAAATACATTGCTTGAAACAAGTGTTATTGTACTCGTTTTTTAAAAAGTACTCAGTATTGTTGAACTAGCGAATGATTTGACTTGTTTCTAGTCTACATCTTCTTAAATCATTTTTTTTTTTTTTTTGTAGTTAGATGGCTTTTAATTGCAGTGTACAAGCTGATGTCTCTCTCTTTCTCTTTTTCATCACTAAAGGACACTCTCTCAGCTGTTACCAGTGTAACAGTTCTTGTGTAAACCTGACAGAAACAGCATGCTCCAGTGGAACTACTATGTGTGAGAGTACTACAATGATACCGCAACTTGGTAAGTCCAATATAATGGATTGAATTTTACTGTTGCATTTGAATGAGGAAGGTGCTAGTGTTGTATGTTTCAAACAGGTTTCCAGCATTTTATTTATTTCCTACCAGTTATGCTAATTAGGCATGGGACGATAACCGTTTTGAAGGTATACCGCGGTTAGGAAAAGTCAGGATTTTAAAACCAGCAAAATTTTCTGTAATACCTTTCCTAAGGTAGTGTATGTGTAAGATTTCTTTATTACTGTTTTTTAAGTATAAGGACAACAGTAACTCCAGCAGAAATTATATCCAAAGATGACATTTAATTTGTGAAGAAATCAGTGTTTTTAAAAGAAATGAAGACAGCAGAAGTCAACGATTCATTTAAATTGAGTCTGACATGTTTACTGCTCCAAACAATAATTAAATTAAATTAAAATACAGGGTGGGCCATTTATATGGTTACAGCTTAATAAAACGGGAGTGGTTGATAAGGTCCTGTTTGTGGCACATTGGTATATGTGAGGGAGCAAACTTTTCAAGATGGGTGATGACCATGGTGGCCATTTTGAAGTCGGCCATCTATGATCCAACTTTTGTTTTTTTAACAGGAAGAGGGTCATTTGACACATAAAACTTATTGGGTATTTCACAAGAAAAACAACTGTGTGCTTGGTTTTAACGTAACTGTATTCCTTCGTGAGTTATTTACAAGTTTCTGACCACTTAAAAATGTGTTTAATGTGCTGCCCGTTGTGTTCCCTGCTGAAAAATCCAGCTTAAACCAGCCTAGGCTGGTTGGCTGGTTTTAGCTGGTTGACCAGGCTGGTTTTAGAGGGGTTTTGGCCATTTCCATGCTGGTTTCCAGCCATTTCCACCCTGGTCTTAGCTGGTCAGGCTGGAAAATGACCAGCTAAATCCAGCTAAAACCAGCTTGACCAGCCTGGTTTAAGTTAGACATAGCTGGTTTTGGCTGGGCTCCCAGCCTGGCTAAGCTGGTCAAGCTGGTTTTAGCTGGTCATCTCCCAGCCTGACCAGCTAAGACCAGGCTGGAAATGGCTGGAAACCAGCCTGAAAATGGTTAAAACCCCTCTAAAACCAGCCTGGTTGACCAGCTAAAACCAGCCAACCAGCCTAGGCTGGTTTAAGCTGTTTTTTTCAGCAGGGTTGGATTGTCAATGCAACCTTCTTCTCCCACTCTTCACACACTGATAGCAACACTGCAGGAGAAATGCCAGCACAGGCTTCCAGTATCCATAGTTTCAGGTGCTGCACATCTTGTATCTTCACACCATAGACAGCAAAGATAGTGGGGCCATTCTTTATTAATGGAAACCTCATGGCCACTGGATATTTGAAATTGCTATGATGATGTGTTTTCCTCTTTATGCACTGAAGTTGACACTTTCCCTGAGTTTTTCCAGCAAGATGGTGCACCACCACATTATAGGTGTCAGGTCCAAGCATTCCTAGATGAGCAGTTTCCTGAAAAGTGGATTGGTCTTCGTGGGCCAGTTGAATGGCCCCAAGGTCTCCCAATCTAGACTTTTATCTTTGGGGTCATCTGAAGGCAATTGTATATGGTGTGAAGATGCAAGATGTGCAGCACCTGAAGCTACAGATTCTGGAAGCCTGTGTTGGCATTTCTCCTGCAGTGTTGATTTCAGTGTGTGAAGAATGGGAGAAGATGGTAGCATTGACAATCCAATACAATGAGCAGCACATTGGACACATTATATGTAAATAACTCATATGAGAATAAAGTTACGTTAAAAACAAGCACACCATTGTTTTTCTTGTAAAATTTCCAATTAGTTTGATGTGTCAAATGACCCTCTTCCTATTGAAAAAAACAAAGTTGGATCCAAGATGACCGACTTCAAAACAGCCACCAGGGTCACCACTCATCTTGAAAAGTTTGCCACCTCACATATACTAACCTGCCACAAACTGAACGTTAATATCACCAACCATTCCCATTTTATTAAAGTGTATGCATATAAATGGCCCACCCTGTGTTAAATGGGAAAAGATGTCTTTGTTTTTTTCCCCCAGACTTTTAAAAATAGTATATTTTACAGCAGTAATCATAATACAGTGATTCCGTGAAATCGTGATATTTATATCCAAGGTTATCATAACTTCAAAATCATACACCGGCCAATACCTAATGCTAACTGTGCATAAAAAAATAAAAAAGGAAAATGTGTGAAATGTACTAAAATAATGTGTTGTCGCATTGTTTTTAGCTGACCTTGGTACTAATAAGACGTTTAAAGGTTGTGCTGCTGATTGTGGAAATGGCTCGATCAACTTCAGCATTGTAATGATATTTTCTGAGTGCTGTAACAGTGACCGGTGTAACATCCAAGATGCACAAGGTATTATACTACACTCACCATATCCAATTGATTATGTTATCTGTAAGTCACGACTCGTTACACTGTAACAGGGCTCAATTCAATTACTTTGTCATGGGGGCCAGTTCATGAAAAGCATCTCAAATGAGGGGCCTGAGAGATATGACTTGCAATATGAGTGATGACACCACATATAAGAGCCTGTATGCTGCATTTTTGTTTTTTAAGACACTCACGTTGGCTTTTTCTACATAATGAGCTCTATTTTGAAGATCCCTGCACAAAGTCTGAAGCGCAGTGCGCATAAGCATTAAGGGCGTGTCAGAATCCACTTTTTGCTAATATAAGGGCAGAAAAATCCGCTTTGCACCGTAGCGCATGGTCTAACAGGGTTGAGCTTATGTTCTTAATGAGTTATAGGTGTGTTTTGAGATTAAACCAATCAGAGTCTCATCTCCCATTCCCTTTGAGAGTCATTTGCATCGCACCATAGCGCATTTGCTATTTACATGACGGACTTTGTAAGTGGAAAAACTGAACACTTCACTAGAGAGAAAACAGTTAAACAGAGCATCTGCAGCGCGAGAATGAGAGATGAGCCTCCTCGTTCTTTACTTTCAATTTCACTCTCGTGGATAGAGAAACGTGTTGTAGGCACAGACATCAATTAGCCTATAAATAATTCATTTTGTTTGTTAAGCGCAAAGATTTGTTTCAAAACTATTTCTAAATTCAGTTCTTATTTCCAGCAAACGAATAAATGAACAATAATAATGAAGTGTGTTCAAAAAACCTGAGTTATATCCTAAAACACATGCTTTGCCCCATATGGTCCAAAACCTGACAGGTGGACAAATCTAAGCCTGCTTTTAATAAAACTAATATAAATATGCAGATAATAAATAATACTGCTAATAGTCATAACATTATAAAAAAGCAAATTGTTATGAATGAACTGAAAAAGCCCCCCGAGATGAAGAAGGCTAGAAAATAATATGTTTTGTAATATTTTAATCCTTTATATTTATATCCTATATATATATATATATTATTATTATTATTATTATTATTATTATTATTATATCCTATATATATATCTCTAATATTTGAATTCTTTTTCATATGTAAAGATACTTGCGTATTGCTATACATCCTGTGTGTATTAAGCAATGTGTAAGTGAGGCGCACAACTAACACTAACACGCTCTGCGCTGGACTTTAGATTGGCTTTGTTCTGGTCTTTAGAACAGTCTATTATAGTTTCTCAAAATAGCAACGCACCAGCAATACGCCTCAACAAACCCCATTTTGTAGATCAGAACACCTATGGGTGCGCATATGAGCGCAAATGCATTTGCGATTTAAACAACGTGGTGTAAAACATCAAAATGACTCTTGCACTGAGACAAAACTAGCAAACAACAATTGCATCACGCATTGAGCCGCATTGCACCGGCTGTATGATAGGGCCCTAAAACTTTAATATGTTGTATTTTAAAACTACATAACATCACTGCATTGTACAGTGTGGCTTTTTTTTTTTTTTTTGATGTTGTGTTTCGAAGCACAACAAAATCAGTGTATTACTCAAGTAGGCATCTTCTACATTCAAACAAATTCATGTCTTATGTTTTGAACTGCATGACAATTAGGGATGCAACGATTATAGATTTTGGTTGTACGATTAAATAGTCTAAAGAATAATCATGGTTTTACAGTTATCACCATTATTATGTGTTTATTCAAAACACTATTAGTTTAGAAAATTACATGAAAACAGCTTATTTGTTAAAGCAGGGGTGTCCAAACTCTGTCCTGGAGGACCGGTGTCCTGCAGTCAGACCCCAGTCAGACACACTGGGCTGGCTAATCAAGCTCTTATCAGGCTTTCTAGAAACATCCTTTCAGGTGTGTTGAGGCAAGTTAGAGCTAAAATCTGCTGGACACCGGCCCTCAAGGAATGAGTTTGGACGCCGCTGTGTTAAAGTGTTGTTTATTGCTACTCAGTAACCAAATAAAGCACAAAATATAAATAAAAAATAAACAATAGTCTGTTTGAGTGATAATTTTACAACAAAAATAAACAACAAAACAATGAATAAATAAATAAAAGTAAGAATGAATAAAAAAGTCCCGGGAGGTACGTATTTGTGCAGTTTTTGTTTTCGCGAATCCACAAGAGGCCGCTGTGCGCGCTTTTTTGCATCGCGAATGTCTCTCGCGAGCACCGTTCGTGCCCGCACTGTTCTCGCATAAAGCTGCCAGAGGTTGCTGTCGAGCGACCGTCTGTCGGACTGACTGAATGACTGACTGGGTGGCTGGCTTATTTGTCCGACCCATCCTCCTCCTCCTCCTTCCCTAAACCCAACCGGTTTTACCGATTGACCTGCCAGCCTGCCCGCTCGCTTCCCTAAACCCAAGCAATAATTTACAAAAGCCCTCCAGTAAAAGAAAAGACTTCGCCTGATTTTGACCATGTTTATGGATTTCAGAAAAGTCTCGCCCAGTTATGAACTCGTTCACTTTATTTTTTGGATTCTGTTTTTGTTTTACCTGATTTCTGAAACCGCTCTTCCCCGGACTCAAACCCTGTCATCGCCGTCGGCTCCCCTCCAGCTCTCCGCTCCGCCGCCGTACACGACAAGCTAACCGGACAAACTGGTTGCAGCGGGAAAGCCCTCCAAACGGAAGTGAGCTGTCAGCCAGCAAGCGCAAAGAGGAGCGGCGCCACACCACCCGTAGCATTCTCTTGAAAAAATGAAATGCGCCCATACGTACCTCCAGCCATGTAAATCACGCTCTCAAGAAACGTCCAGTGGTTACATTTTCAGAATGAACTTAGGTTAAAAAATAGTATTTATCTAATGGTCATTTAAGCTATATATTAGCTAAAGATTTAAATGAGTTGTTGTTATTATCTGCGCTCATACATACATATTCATTTTAATCATTTGTCATAATTCGTCTAACGTATATTTTGTTTACACTGCACTGTACAGCCACATGCAACTCTCAACAGCTTGAGATCTTTTCTACTGTGTGCGTCTGGATGGCGCGAGTGTGTCGGTCAACTTGCAAGTCGTGCGCTTCGCTCCCAATATGCGCACGTCTCCATTGGAAATAATGAACTTGCATGTAGAAAAGACGCAATATTTGAACAGCCTGCTGCTATAGTTAATCCAATGTGTGTGCATATTAGCCTGGGTATAAGCTTGGAACTTTAAACAAGCACACAGTTGGCATGACTTTGTTTAGTTGCAGCAGTTTTTTTCTGTGCAACAGAAACGTGGCGTTGAGGTGCCTTTATGATTAATTAACTGTAATGAATTAAAGTGCAATTAATTGTGAAATCGGCTAATCATTGCATCCCTATTAACGATATCAGTGCATTGTCCAAAAGGCCTTTTATTTAAATATATCCACATGTTTTTGGCTGCCTGTGCCACTCGCTTAATTCACTCTGCTCAGCCTTCAACTACAGCTCTTGCTGTATTGAACAGAAGCACGTCACTTCCAACACAATCTCACAGCAATTCGTAACTTTTTGATTTAGTGGCTGATTCGTATCTATTCGTATGATCTAATTCAGTGGTTCTCAAAGTGGGGGCCGGGACCCCTTGAGGGGTCGCGGAACAATGAAGGGGGGTCGCCTGGTGATTTCCAAAAATCTACTTATTATTATTAGGCCATAAGGATTACCATATTTTATCCATAATCAACTGAAGATAGAAAAAAACAGTCGTTTATAGTAGCCTATTTACTAGTTCTATTGGATTGCGACCCCTGGGGTAAATACATTATATTAAAGACAGCAAAAGCGTCAGATGCAGCAGATTGATTTTCTGGCCCATTTACAGCACTGACATACATTTAAAAAAATGTAAACAAAGAATAGACTTTGGTCTATTGGTGTGTGTGTGTGCGCCATTGCATGTAAGTTTTCTGTATTTATAACCACCTCAGAGGATATTGGGGGTCACGAGTCACTGGCATTGTTATTTTAGGGGTCGCGTGCTGAAAAGTTTAGGAACCCCTGATCTAATTCATACAATTTAGTAGGATTTGCTCATCACCTAATGATGGTTGGGGTTAAAGGTGGGGTTAGGTGCCACGACTCTTTTTTTAAAATCGTACATTTTTGAACGATTTAACTCATACACAATTATACAAATTACCCACTATACTGACAAATCGTAATACATTTTGTCGTTAGATCAGCCTGGTCACTTTATAACTACAGCGGCCATTTTTTCAACTGAACTAAATTTATTTTGTGATGTCTTGTTCACACTTTTTGTATCAGGGGCCGGGTTTGATCTGCGGGCCGCCAACTGAATTGCCCTGTACTTTAAAATAAAGGTTGTATGTTGGTTAAGAATTGATTAAATGTAGCAGCTAAAGGAGTGTTGCTTTATTAGATATCGTAATTTGTACAGAAAATAAAGAACTATACCTTTTGCTTCCCTCCTGCAGATTCCAACACTGACGCTCTCAATGGAAACACTTGTTACTATTGTGATGAGAGTAATAACTGCTTTAATGTACTGAACTGTTCAGGCAGTGACGATCTCTGCGTTACAGCAACAGGTGAGAATATGGAAAAAGACGTAGACTGTAGTCATTATTTTTTTCTCTCTCTTGTGTTTGAGAATTTGACACAGATTACAGAATCCCAGATTAAATCAAGTTTTCTTTCTGTTCACCAGGGACTATCGAAGGCCAGGAAATGACTCTAAAAGGCTGTGCTTCAAGTTCTATTTGTGTTGCTGTAACATCAATTGGTTTAGCTCAGAACATCTCCTGTTGTTCAGAGAATCTGTGTAATGGAGCTAAAAGTGTCACTCAGAGCTTCCTGTTCCTCTGTTTTCCTCTGATCATCTTCATCCTGATGCTCTGAACACACATTCAGTTTCTACAATCTGACACGCTTTATACACAATATACAGTATAGTTTGTGTTCCCTCTGCAACATCTCTAGAGCACTGATTTGATCATTTGCTTTGACGTTCTGATACAATACTTTATTTTAAATGTACTAAATAACCTTTTTTATTAATAATGTTTGTCGTTTGTGACCCTGAATCACAAATGCAGTCATAAGTGTAAAAGAAAAACTGAGTAAATAAGCGGTTACCCTTTAAACAGTAGTTCTCAAACTTTTTTCACTAAATACCACCTTAGAAAAAAATGGTCTCTCCAAGTATCACCATTATGACCGGCATTGAAATACAGCAGTGTAGTAGGCCTAATTAAGCAGTTACAGCACTGCACAGTTAAAAAACCAGGCAGATTCATTCTTATTATCATGAATATTTATTATTGTCAGCCACTTTAAACATTATAAATAGTTTGAACATTAACACTGTACTGTGCTTACAGGTAAAAGGAAATAAAACACCAACGTTTAAATTAAAACGTGCTTTTAAAAGTTAATTTAAAATCTCATTGTTCTGTCAGCGCAATAGTCTGGTGGTTAGCTTGCTGACATATGGTGCAGTAGCACTTCAGGGCGTCCCAAGTTAGAATCCCGGCTTGTGGACATTTCCTGTCCTTACCCCCTCTCTGTCATTTTCACCAGCGATTAACACACACACACACACACACTCAAACAAACAAATCCGCCAGTTCATGGACTACAACTTTACACATGCACTCCAATCACACACATGTTCTAGATCCTGACTGATTACACTCGCACAACTGAAGCTGCTCAAGGACTGATTCATGGATTATAAGTACAGCTCAAACACAAACACTCTTGCTGAGACTTGTTATCTGTTTAGTGACACTACGATGTGTTTTCCTTTGTCTTGTTTTTCCATGTGTTTGATCCTTGCCTTGTTTTTTTGTATAATTTCTTTCTGCTGCCTGCCTTTTGACTACGACTCTGGTTTGCCCCTGTATTGACCACTGCTTGCCTGATCATTCTAATAAACCTGCATGTGGATCTGCACCTCTGTTGTCAGTGTCACTACCTTGGTTACACTCTCTCCCATTTCGCTTCCTGTCTAAAACACTGTCCTATCCACTTAATTAAGGCAAACAGGCCTATATATACAGTGAAAGTCAGAAATATTGGAGCGCTTGTTTATTTTTTCCCCATTTCTGTTTAATGGGGAGAAAAAAATGTCAGCACATTTCTAAACGTAGTTTTAATAACTCATTTATAATAATAACTGATTTATTTTATCATTGACATGATGACAGTAAATAATATTTGACTAGATATTTTTCAAGATACTTCTATACAGCTTAAAGTGACATTTAAAGGCTTAACTAGGTTAATTAGGTTAACTAGGCAGTTTAGGGTAATTAGGTAAATTATTGTATAATGATGGTTTGTTCTGTAGACTATCAAAAAAATATTGCTTAAAGGGGCTAATAATTTTGTCCCTAAAATGGTTTTTAAAAAATTAAAAACTGTGTTTACTCTAGCCTAAATAAAATAAACAAGACGTTTTCCAGAAGAAAAAAATATTATCAGACATACTGTGAAATTTTCCTTGCTCTGTTAAACATCATTTGGAAAATATAAAAAAAATATTGTAAAAAATATATATAAACATTTTTAAAAGGGGCTAATAATTCTGACTTCAACTGTATGTATATATATACATACATAATATATATATATATATATATATATTAAGATAAAATCATTGTTATTAAAAAGTAAAAAGAAATTGTGTACTTAAATGTAAGGTATTGTCATGTAGTAGTCAATTCATCAACACCTAGAAAGTTCCTTGGACCTCATAAATATAAGCTATAAGTCATCATATTGATATATAAACAGTTTTTGATAAATTTTGAAATATATGATCCATTTATATATGACTTATTTGAATATCTTTGAAGTTTAAACATTAGCTTGTATTTTAGATATATAAATTGGATTTACATATTTAAATTTTTTAATTAAATCTGCTTACTGCAATTTAGAGTAGGCTATTTGTATCAGAAAAGCAAGTGATTAAACTATACCTGTAAACGTTGGGATAGAAAAATACCCGATACGCCCTCAACAACCGTTACAAATATGGGGAGGAAATTAGCTTCAAATGACAGAATACATAACAAACAATAGAAAATTGAAAATAAAATAAAAGGTTTAGCCTAGTAAAACCAATTTACCGATCACATCATTGTTATTGTACGCGTCAAAGGGTTAAATGTGTGTTCATTTTTTTTACTTTAATTATTCAGTGATTCCTCCACGTACCACTAGAAGGAAGCCTCTCTACCACTAGTGGTACACGTACCACAGTTTGAGAACCACTGCTTTAAAATAATGTTCCATTAGTTAACGTCAGCTAAAGTATTTACTAACATTCATTAATTTAATTTTTGGCTTAGTTTCTATTTCAGAGGTCGCCACAGCGAAATGAACTGCCATTTGTTTTACGCAGCAGAAGCCCTTCCAGCTGCAACACAGTACTGGGAAACACCCAAACACACTCACATTCACACACTACTGCCAATTCACCTATAGTGCATGTGTTTGGATTGTGGGGGAAAACCGGAGCACCCGGAGAACACAGGGAGAACTCCATACAGAAACACCAACTGACCCAGCCAGGACTCGAACCAGTGACCTTCTTGCTGTGGCAACGATGTATTTACTAACATGAATAAACAATTAGTAATACTTTTATAAGGTATTTATTTATCTTTGTTAACATTAGATAGTTCATGTTGTAGTTAATTTTGAACTATAATTAAGAAATGCTTTACAAGGTAATTAGTAATGTTAGTAAATACATTTAACATCGGTCTAACTGTATTTTGAGGGTCCGTTTAGTGAATTTAAGTTAAATTGGATCTACATGCCAACTAATTCTCATTAGATTACAAGTAGACTGTCAGGTTGGGTTTAGGGTTAGTGTTAGAGTAAGTTGACATGTAGCAAGAAAGCTTCTTATAGTCAGTTAAATGTCTGTTTAGCAGCAGTATCAACTGATATTAAGCAGACTCTACTAATACTCAAATGGACCATCAAAATAAAGTGTTACTTTAACATCAACTAATGGACCATTATTCCAAAGTTATTACTGAAAAATCTTTCTTTTGATGTTTGGTTTGTTAGGATAGGACAATATTTGGTTGAAAAACAAGGTATTCAAAAATTCTAAAAATTAAGAAAGTCACCTTTAAAGTTTTCTATGTAAAGGGCTTAGCAGTAAACAATACTAAAGGACAATTGAGTTTTGATATATTTATTTTAGGAACTCACAAAATGTTGATGAATTTAATCTTTACATAATGTCCTGATGCTTATTATGGCTTCAAAGAAACATTAATTTGGCCCATGCAGTGCATTTTTTGTTTCAAAATATATCAATATACTGTAAGACTGGTTTTGTAAGACTTTTAGACTTTAATACTGTAAGATTGTAAGACATAGAGTTCATACACATTTTTACTACTAAAACTCAGTGACTTTCCATGACGTTTCCAGGACTTTCAAGTAAATTTTCATGACCTAATGTTTCATGTAATGTCTATGTGTACTTGGTAAATAATAAGAAAAAAACAATGCATGGTCAAAGTTATTACAGCATATCCTAAAACATGCAACAATCTATTTAGTTTGAATGAATCTTTATATCTACGTTAAATTGATTTAGATAATGCTCACACAGCACTAATAATGTTAGAGCATTTGTTTGGCCATGGATAGAAAAGAAGTAAAAACTAACCCATATTTAGTTATGCAAATATTTGTTAAACAAATTTCCATGACTTTTCCAAAACTTTTTTTCAGATTTTCCAAAACTTTTCCAGGCCTGGAAAATGCTGTTTCAAAATTCCATGACTTTTCCAGGTTTTGTAAGACTTTTAGACTTTAATACTGTAAGACTGGTTTTGTGGTCACGTTTATTCTATGCGATTAACTAAAAAAAGAGCTTAAAAGTGTAACTTATTCATCAGGATGAGTGCTGGTTACTGATAACATGGTAACCATCCCTTATAGAGTTTAATCTTTCTGCTAATGCTGTACACTGTAAAGGGAACTCGTACTGTTACTTTACCTATTTTAATCCTTGCAACAAGTATCTCGAAAACTTCCCATCATTAGCAAAAAACAGGTTCTGTGTTGCATTTTTACATACTGTAAACATGACTGTCAGGCACAAAGGTTTATACTGTATACATATATACTTATCAAGCTTTGACCTGCATCATCTTCCTGGAATTGTAATTCCTTTGCATCTTTGGCCAAATGTAATTATTAACAATCAACTATCAGATCAAGTTGCTATCATTTTATAGATATAATAATTGTTACTACACGTTTTAAATTGTAGCTTCTATGTGTTTGATAAATAATTATATTATGGTAAAATCTTGTTCAGATTGCACACATCTAAGGGTGCTTTCACACCTACACTTTTGTTTCGGAACGTGTCTCGTTTGCCCAGTTAGCGCGGTTCGTTTGGCATATGTGAACAGGGTAATCGCGCTCTGTTCCGCGCCAAAGTAATCGCTCCGAGATCGCTTGAATGAGGTGGTCTTGGCACGATTGAAATGAACCCTGGAGCGGTTCGATTGCAGTGAGAAAGCGATCCGATCCGAGCGCGGTTATATCACAGTGTTTTATGGATATGTAATAGGCATAGGGCTATATGAAGTGAGAATTATGAGTAAGGCGGAAAGTTTCGCGAGTCTCCGGATGCCCGCAAACGAGTGATGATCTCCCGGTAATCTCGCGTCTCCCTCCCGGTCCTCAAATAGGCATCGTCGCATCACTCCTCCCCACCGCATCTCTCCTCAGACACATCGCGCGCGCGCACCCTGTCAATCACCACCAAACCACCACCTCTCCTGACAGCTGAGCGGGACTCTGCAAAATAAACCCTGACACTCTGACCAATGTGAGGAGAGTTTACTCGCACATGACTTGTTTTAGCTCTTTTGGTCCGATTAGAAACTGCAGTGTGAAAGCGAACCGCTCCAAGAGCAAAGAGCAACAATGTAACAATAGTAATCTCTGTTTCTGAACAACTGAAACGATTCACAGGTGTGAAAGACCTTAAATAAACACATTACAGTCACTTCTTAATGCTTCAATCCAGAAAAGAAACCATTAGCTCGTATTTTGATGATTGTTTGAGGTCAGTTTAAACCAGGGCTTTTCAAACTGTTGGTCGCACAGTGAACAAAGGTGAGTCGCGCAACGTCACATAGCTGCAGCCATATTTACGTTGCAGTGAATCAAAACCAGTACGATAATGAGCGAACGACTCTTTAGAGACGATTCTGTTTTTCAAATGAATCATTTAGGTTAAAAGACATGAGCTGAAACAGTCTGAATCAGCATTCATTGAATGAGTCAGATTCATTGTTTTGAACTGTCACGTGTCTAGGTCAGAAGCGTGCAGCACGCAAAGTGTTTGGTAAATGGAACAGTTTTTAAAACTAAAGGCGTCGCAGACTTATCATTTGTCTTCAAATCAAACCAAATCTAAAAAGGAGCCACACAGAAAATATGATCAGTCCTACCTCAATCTTAGTTTCATTGCTGGCATCGGTCCAGAGGGTGAGGAAGTCCTGCATTGTTTTTAATGCTTAGAAAAGCTTGCAAGCTTTCAAAACTTTACTTT